GGCTGGGACCTCGATGATGCCATTGATCTGTTCTCGGGCCAGGGCCAGGGCCAGGCGCTCACCACGGCCACACACGGTCTGGTCGTCCAGGATTGCAGCTGAGAGGACACAGGAGTTGGGAGGGGCCAGATTCCTGGGGCCTGAGAAAGAGTGTCTGTGGGGTCTTGGATTTTTGGCCTCTAGAGTAGAGGGAGGTATAGGTATGAAGGGGCCTAGGCTCCTGGATCTGAGGCTGCAGGGCAGAATATCTGGACCCCTGGGGTCAGAGCACTTTGGTGCTAGTATGCCTGCGCTCCCAGGAGGGGTCTGGAGGGAGAGCTTCTGAGGAGGCGGGGTGCTGGGGCCTCACCCATGCGCAGTGATGACAGCACCTGGCAGCTGGGGTTGGCGAAGGCGACTATCAGCAGCAGCAGCAGCTCAGCCGGCATCTTCCTCCCCTCCTCATGGGGACGCAGCTGCCGCGGCCCCCACTCGCCACCTGCAGAGAGACCCCCCCCAGCCCCAAGAGAGATGGCCGATATGGGGGAGGGCAGCAACTCTTTGGAAAGCTGCTGGATGGAGGGGCAAGCACAGTCCTCCCAGACATCATTGGGGAGGGATACACAGTTCTGAAAAGCCAAGCTCACTGGGGACACCAAGCTCACACGGTCCTGAGCTCTGGAAGATGGAAAGGTCAGAGGTCACAGATAGGACAGGCATTACTAGAAATTTCAAGTAGGAGTAATCCTGGGGACCAGCCCCACCCCAACAGGAAACTGAAAAGTGCTACCACCACCCCAGTCCCGCCCCTGTCTCTGGGCAGGCAACTGTTACTAGGCAACAGAAACTGGCTGGAGAGGATGCAGTGGTTGCTAGGCAACCCCATCCCAAGCCTCACTTGCCACCTTCCTGACGTCCCTGGTTCCCACAATCCCATGGGAGAGAGGCCTGGGCACCCAGGGTCTGACAGGTGAAAGCATCTCAGAATTGGGAAACTTGGTGAGGGGGAGGAAGGGAGAGAAGGAGCGAGGGAGGGAGTCAGGGAGGGAGGGACAAAGCAAAGAACCTAAAAACAGAGTATAGAAGAAAGAGAACAGAGGAAAAAGAAAAAGTATCTGATGAGAGGCTGCAAAAAGAAAGCTGCTGGGACTCAGAATGTGAGGAAGGCAGGGAGAATAGGCAGACGTGAGAGCCCAGGATGGCAGAGACTGCTGGGAACACAGACAGAAGGAGAGGTGAAGGAAATCAGAGACAGGGAAGGCAGGACTGGAAGATGTGTACATAAAGGACAGACACCAGAGAAAGGGAACAGGACAGGACCAAACAAGAGGCTACCAGTGCATGGGCGTGGATGAGCCACTGGAAGAGAAAGACAGACAACAGGGAGAGGCACAGACTGACTCAGGAGAACAGAGAGTCTGGTAGGAAGAAAGGAAAGCTGGAAGACTGCCTGCAAGAGGTGGGTACTGAGACCCTGCTGCACCCTCTTCTGAGGAGCTGGGGTATGGAACATGACTTCTCCTCCTAGATCCAGCCTCGGGGAGTCCAGGTTTGTCCTGGACACTCCAGGCCTTTGGCAGTGTAACTGCTGGGCAGGATGTTTTGCCAGATGTGCACACGGATCCCTGGACCTGGTTGTAGACGATGCTCCAATGGAAGAGGGTTATTGCAGAGCCCAGAGCACTGTGACATGTGTCTAGTGTCCCCTGAGACCCCACCTGGCGCCATGGAAAGAACTCCTGAGAAACGGCAGAGTCAGAAGCCAAGGCCTGGAACTGGCTTCTCTGGCCAGAAAGTTCAGGCCAAGGAGAAAGGGTGTCTAATCCGTCCCACACTTGCCCCTGCTGCCCCAGGTGACCTTGAGAAAGCCCTCCCCCACACCCCTCAGCCTTCGGTGAGGGGAGCCCGAGGGATCCAAGGGCATGCTCAACAGATTGGAGGCTGCAGACTGCAATTTAGATCTAATGTGGAGGCTTGACCAGGGCAGAGGAGCAAGGAATTCTGGGAGAGCTAGAAGGAGAGTTCTCAAGGGGAAGGGCAGGAGGGAGGGGGGTTCATCCTGGGACATCTGGAACAAATGGGGATCAGAGACTACAGACAAAAAGACCGAGACAGGGCAGAAGGGCAGGGACCCACAGGTGGCGGACACAGATGGGAACCAAAAGCCAGAGGCACAGTGAAGAGACGGTCCATGGGGAGTGAATAAACACAGAGGTCCATGCACAGAAAGATAGCCCCCCAAAGTGGTAACTATAGGTAAGTGGAGGGAAAGGACAGACACTAAGTAAGACGTTCACACCAGGATGTAATTCCTGCAGTCTGGAGGCAGGGGGATCAGAGATTGAGGCTAGCCTGTGTTACATAGTGAATGCCTAGACTACAGAGTTAGACCCTGTCTCAAAAACAAAGAGATACCAGAGGAGTAGATGGGAAATGCAAGGAGGAGCAGGGTTGGGTCGGTCCAGGACTCACAGACCTGGAGACTCAGGCCAGGCAGATACAGACGAACGGAAAGAGAGCCAGCAACAGGGGGGAGCTGAGGAGAGTGGGCCAGGCCCTACAGGTAAGAGGAGCGCCGAGCAAGGGGAGATTGCATGCAAAGGACAAGAGGCAGGCAGGAGAAGAGAGGGGCCCAAAGACGGATAACAAGTATAAGAACCAAGGGGCCAGCAGGATGTGGTGACACACACCTGCTGTAGGCTCCGCTGATCAGAAGGCAGAGGCAGGAGGGTCAGGAGTTCAAAGCTAGACACCTCCATGGTGAGTTCCAGGCTAGCCTGGGCTATAGAAAACCCTGTCTCCAAAAATAGAACAAACACACAGAAGCACGGGGAGCAGAGACAGAAATGTGAAACTCTGACAAGAGATACGGCCTGAGACAGACACACACTGAAAATGTGAGCTAGGGAGAGCTGCACAGCAGCCTAAAGAGGCTGAGGCCAGAGGGGCAGAATCCAGGATGAAAGGGCTTGAAGAAGCAACAGGGAGAGGGCTGACCACACAAGCTAGAGAGGGGATGAGTCAGGAGGGAAACTGAGTCAAAGTGGATGCCCTGGAAGGGCACGGCAGCACGCACAGAGGATCCCAGAGTCCCCAGCCCATGGGTACTGGGAGGGAAGGAAGCTAAAAGGCCAGGCTACGGTATGGTTCAGGAATTGAGAGACTGGGACGGTGGGTGAAGAGTCAGGGCAGAAGCCGGGGGACAGAGGAGAGAGCAGCGATGGGGAAGATCAGGGGTCCACAGTGGGGTCTGGGGGAGGGGATCGGAAAAGTGAGAGATGGAGGCTGCAGGTGGAGAGGATCAGGCAGAGAGTGTAAAGACAGAGTGGAAGACTAGATGACAGCTAGCGTCTCACCAGACACAGATGGCTTACAATAGAGGAGAACAGAGAAGTTGGGCAGAGTTGGACAGGCCCGGGAGACAGGCGAAATCCAGAGTGGAAAATGTAAAGGCATTTCCAGAAGACAGGAGGTGCAATGGGACTGGGCCTATGGTAAGGCTTAGTGAAAGAGGAGAGGGAGAGGGAGAGGGAGAGAGGGAAAGAGGGAAAGAGGGAAAGAGGGAGAGAGGGAGAGAGAGAGAGGGAGGGGGAGAGAGAGAGAAACAAAAAACAAATAAAAAGAGAAAAAAAACCCAAAACCCACAAGACAGGAGTCAGTGTGGGTCTGGGACCAAACGCTTGGAGGAAGAACAGTCCAGGAGCCAGTGAAGTGAGCTGGCTACCACAGGAGCCAGCCAGTCGGCCCACAGGGCCCCGGAAAGCTGGGACTGAGGGCAGGTGTGAGGTGTGTACCCAGAAGTAAGGGTGAGAAAAGGAGAAGAGGTCGTGGAGAATGAGAGGTTGACAGGGATGGCACAAAGCAGCGAGGAATAGGTTTCTTGCCATCCACGGGGAGCAGGGACTCTGGGGCCCCCCGCCAGCCGGGCAGGGAGCCTGGCCTTCCAGGACCCAGGACCCAGCCCAGGACCCAGCCCAATCCCCGCCCTATAGACACTTACGGATCCTGGTGGGACGGAGGGCTGGGCTCCCTTGAGGCCCGAGGAACGACAACCAGGAGGTGCTCCGAAGCTGGGTGCTAGTGAGGCTGGGGCCGGGGGAGAGGGCAGTCCACTGGGCCCCCTCCCCCGCCGCCGGCGGTGGCCCCCAACTAATCCAAAACGGTGTCTCCCCAGCAGCAGGGAGGAAGGACAGGTGGAAAAGCAAAGGGCGGGCCAGGAGGGGAGGAAGGGGAAAGGAGAAAATGGAGGAGAGAAGGGGAGAGAGGAGAGGGGGAAGGAGCAAACGGAGGGGAAGGAGGGAGGAAAGGAGGAGAGGAAGGTGAAAACGGAAGGGAGGGGGGCACAGGCAAAGCCGGGGGAGGGGGAAGCCGGCCCAGGAAAGGGCCCCCGCCCCCTCCCCTAGCCGGGCCGGCCTGGGGGGGGCACTGGGGGTGAGGACTGGGTGGAGAAAAGAAAGCCGGCCATCGGGGGGAGGGGGGGGGGGGGGGGCCGGGGGGGGGGGAGGGGGCCCGCCCCCTTCCCCCCTCCCCCCAGAGCCTTGGCCCTGCCCTGGATGAGCCTGGGGACGAGAGTCCTCAAGCCTTTAGCCCCCACGGGAAAAGCATGCTTGGGGGCCGGGAGAGGCCGGTCAATGAAGGGGCTGGCGAGGACAGGGTAACTGGCAGCCCTGGTGAGACCAAGAAGGGGGGCAGACGAGGTGGCGAGATGAGGTGGGAGGAGAGGATGGAGAGAAGCAGGTGGAACGGGAAGGCGGAGGAGGGTGGGGTGTCCCGGGGCCGGCCCGCTCTCGGTGGGAGGGCCTGGCCGCGGACTCTGGTCCCCTGTGAGCGGCAGCCGCTGGCGGCTCCGTGTCCCCAGCCGGGCCTCCCTCCTTGCTGCCGGCCGCTACTACCGCTGCCGCCACCGCTCCTTCTCCCCTCCTAGGCCGCCGCCGCCTGCCCGCCCGCCCGCGCTGAGTCCTGGAGCGCGGCGGGGGGGTGGGGTGGTGGTGATGGTGGTGGTGGTGGTGGTGGTGGTGGGGAGAGATGAAGGGAGGGAGGCTGGGAGGAGGGCGGGCAGGAGGGAGGGAGGGAAGCAGGCAGGGAGCAAGGAGGGAGGGGAGCAGAGGAGGGGGAGATCGTATTGGTCGGGGATGGGGGGCCCTGCGAGGAGAATGCTGATGAGAAGGGCGAGCTGCATTGGATGAAGGGCCCACCCCCGGGGCCACCCCCTCCAACCACACCATGCCACCGCCCTGCCCAGGCAGCCCAGGGTTCTGGAGCCCATGGAGCTGAGAGGCCTTGGTGGGGAGAACTGACTGAAGGGCCTAGAGATGGGGAGAAAGGACTACAGAGATGGAGAAAAACGCAGAGAAACAGAAAGACAGCCATCAAGACCCTAGAGAGGTGGGCTAAGGCCCACAAACTCCACAAAGCCAAGGACTGGGAAAAGCAAGCTACATGGGGACAGAGAACAGCATATGGGACAGAGGTGTCTGAAGGTGGGAGAGGCCAGAGACAGAGGGGAAGACATAGAAAGTCTCCTCAGACTACAGAGCCATACACAGAAGGGGCAGCCGGGAAGTATATACAGGGCCTAGAAAGCAAGGAGAGGTCTTCTGATGGAGATAGTCCCATGGGTACAGGAGACCCACAGAGACAGTCATGTGGTTCACAGACACAAGAGGTCCACTGGGGCAGGCATGGCAAGCTGGTGGAAATTGAACAGGAAAACCTCTGGAAACAGGCTGGAGATGTTGAGGGAGGAAGAGGAGAACTCTCCATTGTGCACAGAGAACTCCTGGAGACCGGTGGAGATGAGTGGGAAGCTAGAAGAGGCCCTCGTCTTCTAGTCACCTGAGCAGTGAGGCAGTGGGAAGGGGTGACAAAATGGTAGAGCTGAGAGAAGCCCTCGCTCTTAAGGAATATTTCGGTCTCCCTGAGGGAGCCCAGAAGGGCAGGGGGATGGAACAGAGAATCGACACAGATCTTCGAGTGGGGGTGGGTGGTGCAGGGCTGGGTGTGTGTGTTGAGGGGGGTGAAATTTGGGGGGAAGGAACATGACAGTTGGCGCTGAAGGCTGAGCCCGTGACTCACCACCACCCCCATGCTCGTGATGGGGAGGAGACACTGACACTCTCACGTGCAGCCCCCAGCACATGTGACCACATGCCTTGCACACACAGTTGGCACGTGGCAACTCAGAGTAGAGCAGGTCTGGCTGGGTGAGCTCTGACTTTGTGGTTCATGCCCAGCAACATGTGACATAAGACATCTGATCCTATAGGACCGCCAATATTGTAGGTGCCTCTTTATCCTCCCAGGGTTAACATCTACCGTCTCTTAACACTCACACTCAGCTCTAGCCAGGCCTGAGGCCAGTACTTCATGCCTGCCTCTGTATCTGTGCTGATCCAGAGATGGTATCATCCACCCTCTCTGGATATAATCTGTCCCAAAAGGCCCAGTCCAGGGCTACCACCGCACAATGTCTGACCTGAACAGGTCACCTCTGCAGGGAAAGGACCTACTGGCCCAAATAAAGTTAGCTGCCCAAGCAGGTTTACAGAGAGGAGCCTGAGAAGCGAAGCTGGGACCTCAAGAGGGAAAAGGAGGCCTTAACAGGAACAAAACACTACCGGTGAGCCCAGAGCCTGCCAAAAGCTCAGCATGGTATGCATTTTGGCTCCTACACAGGTGACTTCACCCCAAGGGCAAACCCACATTATGCTAGCAAACAGCTAGGCCCAAACCTTAGAGCTCACCATCTCCCATCAAGGCTTTACTTTTATTTTTATTTTAATTTATTTTAATTTTATTTTTATTTTAAAAAATCTGCCACCGGGTAGTGGTGGCGCATGCCTTTAATCCCAGCACTTGGGAGGCAGAGGCAGGCGGATTTCTGAGTTCGAGGCCAGCCTGGTCTACAGAGTGAGTTCCAAGACAGCCAGGGTTATACAGAGAAACCCTGTCTCGGAAAAAATCAAATCTGCTGTCTCCTCCTTCACCCTACCCCTTACCCTGGTCTTTGCTTTGCTCTTCTTGAACTTAACCATTCACTCTATGACCCCAAACAATCCACCCACCAGGAAACTTGAGTATAGACCTAGGGAATCATCTCCTGAATGGTGACTTTCTTCTTTCCCCCATGGGGACTTGGACATTCTGGGCTTGTTTCTTAGCACCTCATGGTAACTGTTTGTCTCTAAGAGGATTGGTAGAATTAAATAATGCATGGAAAGCACTGAGTAGAACTCCTATTGTCACATAACACACTCGGAGGTCAGCTACCACTAGGCACTGTGAGATACTAATCAGACACTAAAAATAAATCCTTCAGCCAAGTGTAGAGAGACACGCCTTTAGTCCCAGCAGGCAGACAGAAGCAGGGGATTCTCTTGAGGCCAGCCTGGACTACACAGGGCAACCAGGTTTACACAGAGACACTGTTTCAAAATTTAACTTCTATAGAGCAGTATTTACTTAGTGTCTCACAACCCTGGAACAAAGTTACCATCCCTTTTCAGAGATAAACAAAATGAGACCGAGTTGGAGTTGTTTTTACCCAAAGTCACAGTTAGGAAGTGCCAGGGCTAGGATACAGGCTAAGCAGTCTGGTTAGAACATGTAGGTGTACTTACTAGGGAGTCTAGTGAGAAGTTAGAACACCCAGTTAGACATCAAAAGGAGGGCACACGAATGGTGACAACTGGAGAGTAAGACCTACTGTGGCTCTGTGTTCAAACCCCTCGTAGTTTCTTGGGGCTTCAGTTGGGAAAACGAGGGACAGTTTGACCAGAGGCACCCTGATGACTCCCTTAACCTTGGCTTCAAAAAACGAGCTTCCACAACATTTTGGTATATCTGTGTCAAGTCCAAATATAGATACTGGACATCTTCAGTCACTCGCCACAATATTATATTCAGGTGTGTATATATGTTCACGTACACAGGCATCCTGGTATGGGCAGAAGTCAGAGAACAACTTTCAAGAGTTAGTTCTCTCCTTCTACCTTGTGGATCCCAGGGATAAAACTCAGCATGAGGCTTTGTAAGTGCCTTCACAAGTTGAACCATCTCACTGGCTGTCTACTGTTTTGTTTTTTGAAGATGGGGTATGTAACCCTGGCTGGTCTTGAACGCACTGTGTTGTCCATACTGGCCTTATAAGTCTAGGAAACACCAGCCTCCACATTATTGTTGAGACAAGGTCTCTCAATGAACCTGGAGCTCAGCTAGGTTGACTAGCCAACAAGCTCCAGGGGCTGTAGTTCTCACCACCTGAGTGCTATAACAGAAACACCATGGACTTATTTTACTTGGGTGCTGAGGATCCAAACTCAGGTCCTTATGGTTTGCAATCCAAGCTCCTCTGAAAATATGTCTAACAGTGCTAGACAACTTGCTCCCAAAGCAAAACCGTGTTTTCTTTTCTTTCTTTTTCGAGACAGGGTTTCTCTGTATAGCCCTGGCTGTCCTGGAACTCACTCTGTAGACCAGGCTGGCCTGGAACTCAGAAATCCGCCTGGCTCTGCCTCCCAACTGCTGGGATTAAAGGCGTGCGCCACCACTGCCCGGCTTGGGCCCCGTATTTTCAAGAGTCAGTTCTCTCCTTCTACCTTGTGGATCCCAGAGTCAAAACTCCAGATCAGGCTTAGCATGTGGCTTTACGAGCTGAACCATCTTCCTGCCTTTCCACTTTATTTTTGTCTGTTTGCTTTCTGAAGCCAGGGTCTCTCATAACCCCGGCTGGCCTGGAACTTCATGTGTTTCCATGGAATCTTCCCCATGCCTAGGGATACTCAACTGTGTGGAAGGGCGGTCACCCGGAAAGATACCTTTAAAACAGGAGAGGCAGAGTCAGGCCGATCTCTGTGAGGCCAGCCTGTTCAGACCCTGTCTCAAACAAATCAACTGACTCGATCCACTACAAATCCCATAAACTTTCTCCTGGACCTTCACCTCACACCCTCAGCTTCTTCCAAAGGACCTTACTAATGGAGTTTTTCCTTCCATTTCCCACTTCCTGTCACGTACTTTAGGTTTTCCTCTTCCTCTAAACTCCCTCTCCTAGCATCCTGTTTCCATCCTACTCTTCCTCAATTTCCCCTTTCATCCTCTTAATAGAAAAAGAAGTCTTAAGCCTTGTTTTGTCTCTTTCACTCTGTGTGACTCCTGCTTGGTTTCCTCTCCCATTCACCCCGAGTGGTGTTTCATTTTTTTTGCCACTGGCCCTCAGGAGTTCTTGGACTGTAATTCGCCGGCCTCCAGGACATTGCGTGTCTCTACATCCCACACTGCCCAAATCCCCTACGCCGACGCTTGCCAGGCGCCCCCCAAGATGGCGCCTACAACCTCGTCCCGCCTCTCGACGTCATCGCGCCGCTCTCCGCTCAGCGCTGCCCTTTCGAGCCATCAAAGGCGGAGTCCAAGAAGAGGTGGAAGAGGAAGAACCTCCAGGGAGGCTTAAAGAGGCGGGTACTATCCACCTGGAGGCCGACCAATGACGGAATATTGCTAAGGGATTGGCTGGGCCCCGCGTGATCCCGCCCCTTCGCACTATTGGTCGAGGCTGCAGAAACTTGAGCATCGATTGGTTTAACGACAGGGGCAGGCAGCCGATGATTGGGCGAATTGTGCAGTCTGCGCAGCGGCCCGGGCGGAAGGTGGGAGGGGCGTTGTCGAGGGCGGCCCGAGGTGAGAGCGAGGCTGCGGAGCAGGCGAGACGACGGGCGCTAGAGAGGACGCGGCGCTAGAGTGGCGGTGCAAAGGGACCTGCAGCCCGTGGCCCGGCCTGGGGCCGGCGAGACGGCTAAGGCGGGTGAGTTCCCGTGGGAGCGTAGAGGTCCGGCCCCACCCGGTGGCTTGCCGGCGTCATTCGGCCTGCATGCTGAAGGCCTGAAGGATCGCGCCCTGGGTGCGGAGAGCAGAGCGGCCGTTGGCCGCCGGGCGCGCGGGCCGGGCGGGGGCCGTGCCGGGGTGGTGGGTGGGATAAGAGGACTGGAGTTGAGTGCGAGGCTGAGTGAGGAGGGGCAGGGCTCGGGCTGCAGGCCGGGGGTCGACCTTGGCGGGAAGGGGAGGTCCCAGAGCTGCCTCGCCGGAGGGCTCTCTGGTTGCATGGGGTATCGGGGCCACGGGTGGGTGCGCTGGGGTGGGACTAGAATCGAAAGGGGACGGTTAGAGGACTCTTGGGTGCCCGGGTGGGGAGCTGGCCCGAGAAAGGAGGTAATTAATGCAGGGAGGAAAATCGATTTCTGCCTGGAAAGAACTGAGGCAGAGAAGAGGTTTTTGAGGTATCTTTAGAGTGAAGGGTCAGGTGTGGAAAACGGAGTAATGCTGACATGGAAGGCCGAAAAACGCATGAAAGTGGGGGGTTGGAATACCCTGGAAAGTGTTGACAGCGGTCTTTATATTCTTATGGGTTTCTATAGGTTGAGCTAGAGGGGAGGGATTGTTTTGATTTAGATACAGGAAAGTAGGCCAGAGTGACTATTGGGGCAGTTTTGGGTGTAGTGAGAGATGTGTGCTACAGAAAAGTAGTCTAGAAATTTTGAGGATGTACCATACTGATAACTTTGGGGGTTTGGGAATCCCCATAGTTTTTATGCTGGTGAGAAGGGTTAAGTATGAAGAGGGCCTCTTTTTGCAGGGTTTGAGTACAGGTGGGGCAGCTGAATGACAGACATTGGAAACTCTGAGTTAGGTGAAAGGTTAAGCCGCTACGCAGGGTAGGCTGGCTATTCCTGGACAAGATTACAAAAAAGGAGAAATTCAGCTCCAGATCCAGGATCTGAAAGTTCCTGGAGAGGGTTAGTATGAATTTGGGTCTTTTCTCAGAGAAAAAAGGTTTAGGTTGATACTCTGAAGGCGCTG